AGAGGCTTGCCCCGATGATAGTGACTGGTCCCTCACCTTGGTCTGGTGCCCCTGCTCCACCATCCCACCGTGGCTGATGCTCACCATGTTCTATGCACGCCCCCTGGTGGTCAGCACACATCATGGTGACCAGTTCAGTTGTTTGGTTGTTCCACCGTTTGGTCTATTTGCATATTAGCCTTTTATTATATATGATTGCTTTTTCAAAGAGAGAGTGGAAGGGAAGGAGGGATGGGGGAGAGAGGGAGACACACACACATCAATGTGAGAGAGCCATATCTATTGGTTGCCTTCCACACATACTCTGACCAGGGGCAGGGAGGAACCCGCAACCCAGGTTATGTGTCCTTGATCAGGAATCAAACATGCAACCCTTTGGTCCTAGGACTGACACTCTAACCACTGAGCAACACCGACCAGGGCTGAATACTTTTTAAAAATAATATGTCTTATTGATTTCAGAAATAGGGAGAGGGAGAGATAGAAAACACAGATGAGAGAGAAACATTGATTGATGCCTCCTGCACAACTCTCCCTGGGGATGGAGCCCCAATCCCAGGCATGTGCCCTGACTGGGAGGGGAACAGGCATCCTTTTGGTGCATGGGATGATGCGAAGACGCTCAACCAACTAAGCTACACCAGCTGGGCGAATACTTATTTTTTAATAAGTGCTTTGCTTAGCAGTTTTGTTTGTTTGTTTTTTTTTGCTTTGAGAAGTAATTCAATATAAACATCAACATATACAGTATTGGGAAAAAGAATATAAATGGAGCCACTTCAAAGTGGAGTTTGAGCTGCTATCGCAGAGGAACTGCCTTGCATGTCTTGCTCCTCAAACCTTTGGGATGTTAAAACTGGGCAAGATAACCTTTGCTCTGGGCCTAAAGCAACACTGTATTCCAAGCAACTGCTTGCCAAGGTAACAGGAAAGCAGACATTCTGATTATCAGGCTGAAAATTCTAGGCATTCTTTAAAATTAGCATCACTATGTTAGCTTAACTGTACCTATAGCAATTCCTTTCTTCTCTTTCTGTAATGGTTCCCCTTCCCTTGCTCATAAATACTTCTTGCCTTCACCTCCTAACTTAACACTGTTTGGGTTCTGCCTGAATCGGTGCTTTCTGGGTCGTTCTTCATTTGGATCTCAAATGAACTTTTGTTGCCTCTCATTTGGCCTTTTATTTTGAAGTTAGGAACCTGAAGCGAACTCACCTTGATGGACTGACGTCTCCTGGAACCAGGGATGGTATCTACAGAGATGTGTTTGCATCCACTGCTTCCGCAGACCACGCCTCTTGACCCTGGAGCCTTCCTGGGTTCAGACCTCCCTCCTTTGGGTTGAAGGTGGAGCCTTTCCCTGAAACTGGGAGGGATTTTCCCTGGGGGAACAGTAGCCTCAGAAGGGGTGTCCCACTGGCCTCCTATATGGAGTTGCCACAGTGGGAGGGGCTCTCCTCAGGAAGAAACCCCCCACACACACACTGGGCAAAGCTGCCCGGGAGGTGACGCACTCAGTTTGCTACCATAGGAGGGATTTCCTGCCCTGGAGAGGAGACCTTCTTCACCTGTGGAAGGCTGCCCTGGAAGTGAGCGGCTTGAACGTGCAGCGGCCTGAGGAAGAATACTTCTCCCCTCAGAAGGGGCTTTTCATGCTGTGGGAAGTCCCCTGGAGACAGCAGCTCACAGGGATTTTTCCTGGGTGGGGGAACGCTCGTTTGGTTGTGCCTTCCTTTGCTTCCTTTCCTTGTCTCTGTTGTTCTGTTGTCCTAGAAAGACGGTTCACTGGGGAGTTCACAGGCACCAATCCTATAAACCTGTTGCCCAGGCCAGCCCCCTGCAAACTGAAGAGCTTGTGGGCACTTTGCTGTGGGTCTATGTAAAAACCAGATGCGCTTTTTCCTTTCTTCAGGTTCTACGTCCGGAGAGTTTGGCTAAAATATTTCTCTCTGGTCTCCACCACCTGGAGGTGCACTTACCCAGGTGCACCTGGTGGGCAGTCCAATACCCTGAGGATTCCTGGCAGCTGGGTCCCGTGAAAGGGGAGCATAGGGATTGCTCTCAGGTGTGCGACTGACTGGTTGCTGTAAGCAGTCCACGGGTATCTTTGTGCCATTTTGCCAGACCATGCCAGCTCCCAGGGAAGTTGGTCATGAGGGGTCTGAGTTCATGAGGGGTCTTAACCTTTGTTGCTTTACCGCCTCCAGCAAGGAAGGATTTTTACTGTCTTAAAGTACTCAGGGAGTGAATTTTCTGCATCTTGATCTTTGTCTTTGGTGAAACCATAAAAGGCTGATTGATTTGACTTGCCAGTGAGATTAATAGGTCCTACTGTCAACAGCCAGACAATGGATGCTTTCAATTGGAAAAACCTGCAAATTGGGACTTTTTTTAGAGAGCTCTCATCATAACAACTGTTCTATTGGTACCTACCATTTTCAAAACTTGATACAAAGAAATATAATGGCTAGCCTCCTTGATTTGAGTGACTGAAACTATATAAGAGGTTTTACTAAAGAAAGGTAATGCAGTCAGATAAGTGAATCAACCTATGCTATCATTTAGCTGGCAACTCAATCCTTTGAGGAATTGAACAGTTTAATCCTCCTGCCTGGAGTGGTTAAAGGCAATCTGGGGTCAAGGATTCTGATTTACTCATCTCTGTATTCCCCACAGCCCCCAGGAGTAAAACTGAGGCAGGTTAGTAAGAGGCTAGGAAAATTCCTTGGCAAGTGGAATAGGGAAACTGAGACATATACCTAAACAAAAACAAAACACTGGCCATGCAATGTACAGCCAGATACAAGGCCCTGAGTGCCTGGCAGGGGCCAAAGCTGGAGAGCAAGCTTTCCTCCCCTGATCTGTCATATTGCTGGTCAAGTGGTGTGGACGCCCTGACCTTTCCTCCCTAGAAATAACATCTAGGCTTCAGTCGCTGAGCTCCAGGCTCAGAAAAGCAGCAAAACCAAACAAGGGACTCCTAGGCTGACTGCAGGACCAGCTGCATTAACTAATGAGCCCCTTCCCCGACCCCTGTGAAAGGGTCGTTCGACCCCCAAAGGGGTCGCGACCCACAGGTTGAGAACCGCTGCTCTAAGGGACCTCACCAGCTTGCAAACTGGGCAGCCCTGGGCTGTGGCAATTCGTCCAGGGCTAACTGTGAACTTGTCTCCAAAGCCCCCTTTTCTCTGACTTCCTAGTGAGCGAAAGCAGACTAGCCTACCTGTGGTCGGCAAATTGCGGCTCACGAGCCACATGTGGCTCTTTGGCCCCTTGAGTGTGGCTCTTCCTAAACCTTAGGAATACCCTGATTAAGTTAATAACAATGTACCTACCTATATAGTTTAAGTTTAAAAAATTTGGCTCTCAAAAGAAATTTCAGTCGTTGTACTGTTGATATTTGGCTCTGTTGACTAATGAGTTTGCCGACCACTGGACTAGGCTCATCTTTCCTGTAGCATTTCCAGAGAGGCAAGGCTGCCCTGCTTAGGTTCTCCTGTTGCTTCCACTATCCAAAGCCCTTCCTTGTTTTACTGTACCCAGCCTTAATGAACATCCTCTAAAAATCACCGCGACATGTATTGTGAAATCTTTCCTGCAAGAAGTCAAGTACCCACACACTACCAACCAGCCCAACGTAGACCCACACTAAGGCCAGGTCCCTTTTCTGGGAATAACGTAATAGGCATGCAATAATTATTTGAAGGGTTGAACAGAAGCACTTAACACTCCCAAATGCATAAAGTTACTTTATTTTAAGTATACATTTAATTTTGAAAAATATAAATGCTAAAATATCTCATCTTCTTCATCTCTTAATTCCATAAAAGTCACAATAGAAAGCTTCATAAAACTGTAAAATACTATAATGTTATAGGAATTTTAGGTTTTATATTGGAAAAAATTATTAGTAATATATTGAAATGTTTTCTGTTCTTTATCATTTTGTTCCACCATGTTGATCTACTTCATTTGAAATAAAAAGATGCATCATTTCTCCAAAGTTAATAAAGACTTAAGAGAATAAAAATAAGAATATCTGAAAGTGCATATTGATTCTGAAAAGTAATGTGTATGAATATGTACCAGCCATGAAAATGGCTAAAAAGAGGCAACTATTCACGCTTTTCACATTGTAGGAATGGGACAAAGTTACTTCTGGCTCTAAAAGTTTTACTGGATGAAATTAGCCCTGAGTTGCAATATTTGCCTAGGAAATATAATTCAGAATTTTTTGTATGTACCCACAGAACACAAAGAAATGAGCCAAAAATAGGACATATGCAAATATCTTGCCCAAACACAACTTGGTGTTTGTATATATCACAAAACCATATTTCAGGCTGCAGTGAAGCTCAATGAAATCATCATCTCCAAACTCCCACAGCCCTTCAGATGGTCAAGGGCCACAAACTATCATTTGATTGTATTCAGCCCATTGGTGCCACTGGGCTGCATGCTCATGCTGTGAAGAGCAGATGTGAAATAAGAAATAAATAAGAAAATCTCAAGTTCCTGCACCAAAATCGTTAAGTGGTATGAAAAGGATTGAAGGAAGCTTTGTCCCATCCCTGAACAATGTCAACCTCTGTAATACAACTCAAATAGTTTTGTTTCGTTTTTTAAAGATAGTCAGCAGTCAATACAATTCAAGTACTTTAACACAGTTAAAAACAAAACAAACAAACAAAGAAGAACCAAAACGCGGAAGACAATCGTTCTCTGTGTTAAACATCGATATAGAGCTGATAAAAGATTTACTCTGTGTGTACTGGTGCATGTGCATAAAATATATAGAACTACACGCCTGAATTACTGAGGCAGACAATTACTCCCCCCGCCCCCCGACCCCTCACCCCCACCCCCATTCTTTGAGGTTAGGGGGCTGATTAGGTAGGCCTTTTCCCTACTTCTTTAAGCGTCCACCTCCCTACCCCCATTCCACAGCTTGACTGGAAGAACAATCAGGAACACTACTGCAGATGGCACACAAAATAATTAGGGTTCCAAGTCCTGGTTTCACATAGTAGAGAAGAGTGACTTTCATCAAGGAAAACGGTGCCTCCAAGATATTTTCTTTCAAATGCAAAGCCAGAGACCTTTTGTTTCCATAAGGCAGACTCTTGGCCTAGTGATCTTTCCTTCCAACAATAAGTGTGTACAGCCAAGCGTTCCGGTTAACAATTCTGAGTGTACACTTAGTTACTTACTTCTTTACTTCTAACAACTTACATCTTTTTTTGTCCGTATTCACATCAGGGAGAAACACTTTGTAAAATTTTACCAGTGTATTCTGTGTGTCCAGTTTACAAAGAAACAAAACCACACAATCTGGTTAGTTCTTAAATAATGAGTAAATTCAATTGAGATAGAAATAATTTGGTGGCTCTGTGTGGACCTCAGGTTTTGTTTGTTGGGTAACTATTTCTATTCCTCTGAAAGTTATGATTTTTTAAATATGTCCCTGGGTCCCAAAATATTGAAAAGGTTTGATACCTATGATCCTTTTAGCAAACATAACGTATTGTTCCACATTCATATTGTAAGTATCAACCAGTCATTGAACATGCATCATACACAGAGGTGCAGATAACTTTTAGATCTACTCAAAGGCTGAATTAAGTTGTTTTAGGAGGTTTTTTTTAAAGGGATGGAGAGGGGCATGAATCCTCAAATACTTGATTCATGATAAGAAAAATAAATTATTATAGCTAGATTTTATAAAAATGAACAAAAATGTCATTAATTTGACAAGATTTTAGGTTAGGCTGAATATATTATGCATGGCTTTCAAACATTTTACTGGTGCTTCTATCAGTTAAAAAAAAGGGGGGAAAGCTTCTAATTTTATCTTAGTTTAATGAAAAAGCTATATAATATAGAGAGTAATCATTTTAAGAATAGTTGTAAATACAAGCCAAAATTTAGCATGTGAGGTTTTAATAAATAACAAGTAATTTGCCACTTTCATTTGAATGAAAAAACTGCAGGTCATTTATATCTAATTTGTATAAAATTGAAGGTTTTAAGATTATCTGGTACTATAAAAGAAACAGCTAATTCAGAATAAATTTTTTGTAATCAGAATTTTAAGAGGGCAGTATTATAATTTAATTAATATAAAAATAAGTAGGAATCACTATGTATATATTATGAAACCAAAATAGGTGGCTTCGTTCAGTTTCTGAACTCTTCTGACAATCTATTTTACTTAGGATGCACCACAAAACGTGACCATATGACCCCAAAATAGGGATTCAACATTTTAACATTTTTAATGCAGATTCATAATACGTAATTCAACCTATTAAAAGCATTATATTAAAATAACATGGTAATTTAATTAATATTGTCTTTTTTCTAATTTTCAAAATGGTACTTTGTAATATATATATATAATATATATATATATATATATATATATATATATATATATATACACACATACGTACACACATACACATTTATATATTCTAAATTTCCCAATCACAAGGAATTGCCTTTCCATCCTAAAAAATGTGTAAGTCTTATTACAATGTATACACATACACCTCTGCAGATCTATTTGTCATGCCATAAACACTTTATAAATGTGCAAATGGTCTACTGATATTTCTATGAATTTTGTATTGTAATTATGGGCTACTGTATCAGTGATGGTTACTAATATCTGAATAATAAAATATATCCACCCTCATTTACATGACCGTAAGTCTCTTAGACCTCCGATGGATTTTTCATATATGGTTTGGGTTTTATGACAACTGACACAAGAGGCTGGGTAACTTTGCCCTTTGCCTACCATTACTCTGTCCATAACTTTGCATATATGCACCAGCCACACACAGAGTATATACACAAACACACAAATATTTCAAAGTGAAAAAACAAAATCTAACAATACTGCATAGGACATGGACATGATAATACAATTAGCATCTGTGCCTGGATAGTACTGTTATCAAAGCATCAGTTATTCCCATAACATAGGAGCTTCTCCCTTCTCCCCCATTCTCCTTCACAGAACAGATAAATTTCTTTTAAGGAAAGGGGAAATCGATGCTTAGAAACATGGTGTTTTTCCTCTGATCTAGCCCTCTGGCTTACCTTAAAGATTGTGTGTGTATGTGTGTGTGTGTGTGTGTATGAGTGTGTATATGTGTGTAAAAATCACATTATATACAATACAATTTTTACAGAAAGCCTGGCAGCTACAAATAAGAGGTAGAACTACTCAAAACTATGTTTCCTGCTGCAGGAAAAAATTCATTATTTTACAGTAATTAAAAAAAAGTTTAAAAAATTGACAAAAAAATAAGTTGCAGGTTAGGCCCCATAATTTAAACAACAAAATCTAGGAAGAAAAATATTCTTCAAATGTACTCAACAGATAAGTTCATTAAAGGGTTAAAAAAAGTTGCATAGGAAAAAGGGACATTCCAGCACTTGCTACAATGATGGCAATAGTTTCGCTACAGGGAATAAAGTACCTTTAGTTGTTCTTCTTTTGAGAATTCTAGGATTAGGGTTCCTAAGCAAGAGCAAATTAGAATAGCAGCACTTTTCCAGTTCTGGAGAGCTCCGTAAGCGAGAGGAAACTGTCTGCAGATCAAGGTTTGTTCTGCCAGACAGAAAGACAAGCCAGTAAGCACAGCTCCAAAGCTCAAGTGGTAAGTTCCTTCAGTATTTAAATAGAAGGTGTTATAAAATCCTTAATACTTTTGACCTCTGGTTAAGAAAGGAAAAGAACCGGGTCTGTGCGTGTCTTGCATGACAGAGGAATTTGGTTGTCAGAGGATACATCTGAACATATAATGAAAAGGGGGACTCTTCAGGTGCTGTTTTTCAGGAATGGTGCACTACTGTCTTAGTTTTACCTTACGCTAGGGAGAAGCAGAGAGAGCACTGTACTATTTGGCCAATGACCAAAACCCAAAACAAAACAAGAATTAAAAATAAACAACCAGATGAAAAAAAAAACAAGACCATGAACAACAAAATCTGTTAGTTTGAGGAAAGACAAACAAGTTACAATGTAGTTTCTGTTCCCTTGCTCCTCCAGTAATCATCATTGTCATCCGGCTCAAGTTCTATTCTGATCTGAGGCACACCTTGTACTGGAGTTTTAGGAGGACTAGAGAAAAAGAAAAGAAACGAACTGGTAAGTAAGTCAGATTTCCTTTCTCATCTGTCAAATGTCTATATATTGGACAGAAGCCAAATGTGTCCTTTGTTTTCTGTAAATTCTTATCTCCACTTTCTGTATTCATAAGACAAACATTTTTAAGTGGGATGAAGGTACCAATAGAGTCAAGATATTCAAGTAAAAATGTCTTAAGCCCTCATACCTAGATTTGAAAAAAACAACAACACAAAAACAAACAAGAAGGTGGGTGATACTGTCAACTTCAAGGACAAAAAGACTTTCATGAAGAAAATATTCAGGGATTATACTTTTTGGGCAACCAACTAAGATCTGAAATCTGCAGAGCCAGGTTAAGAGGGAAGGAAACTCCTGGAGAAGAGCTGCCAGGAAATGCAGCTACCCCTGAAGTCAGAGATGATACAGAAAGGATAAGAGGTGACGTTGATTGATCGGGGGCTTTATTTTAATGCTACTGAGAGATTTCAGTATTTCTAAGAGTAAATAGAAAAGGTCTTTTAGAAGGTTTTCTACCAGTGAAAACTGGAGCAAGGTTTGGTGGTTGGGAAATTTATTTAAGAGAAATGGAGGGAGAACAAGGTGTTCTGCCAATAACCCGCCTTTGACTTCATTTCTGTGGGGCAATCATGGCACAGAACAACGTAGGGGAAACAGGGCAGTCCTTTACCTGAGCATACCCAGTGACTGAAGAAAAGGAATTTTATCAGCATGATGTGTGGTGTTCAAGGAATGTTGGTGATCTTTCTCCTGGAAAAAAAATATCTTTGTTAACCATAAAGAGTAGTTTTGGGTAATATTTAAAACCAGAGTGAAAATAAAAATCTCCACAAAAACTGATGCATCTTTCACAATTGGGAAGAGTAAGAAAGGCAAGTTTAGACAATGTCAATAAACACTGTATCAAGGTAAGAATCTAACTGGTGTGACGAAGCCAAAATCACTTTGCTTCCTTTACTCCAGGTTTTTTTCTAGGAATAACCACTAATGTTCCTCTCAGTGAGGGGCAAGAGGTGAATCATTTTTATGAGACTGACGCGCTGCCTACTGCGCTAAGGAGGCAGCTGAGGTGAATCATTTTTAAAAAGTATGCTTACTCTTGGATTTCCTTACATCTTCAGCATTCACAACTTTGTCCTGTGATTTGTGGGGGAATAAAAAGATTTTGAGGAACTTATTTATACTGCAACTCTATCGATTTTGTTTTTTTTCATGGATTATAGAAGATAAATATGACATTAGAAAAGATGTCATTTAGCCCTGGTGGGTGTGACTCAGTGGCTTGGGCATAACCTCGTGCCCTGGAAGGTCCCCTGGTTCTATTCCTGGTCGGAGCACATGCCTGGGATGTGGGCTCGATCCCTGGTAGGGGGGTGTAGGAGGCAGCCGATCAATGTTTCACTCTCATATTGATGTTTCTCTCTCTCCCTTCCTCTCTTTCTAAAAATTAATTTAAAAATGTAAAAAAAAAATGTCAGTTAGAATAATCATGGGTGATTTGCTTAAGTGAATTTCTAATATATCAGCTTTCAAAGTATCCTTCTTAAAGGATTCTTGAGAGAATTAAGAATACTAGCACTAGATAATATAATTGCTATACATTTTTTCCAGGAGCCTCAAATTCTAACGGATTTTTTTTTTCTAAAGCAGCCTTTAAACTGTACTTGAAAGGGCTCCACTAGCTTACAATGTCAATGGACAACATACCTAATGGGCTCTCTTTCAGTCTTCATTTGCTATTGATGTTCTGAAGATGAATAATGAAGCTAGAACATGGTTTGGGGACCTTGAATTTAAAAAGGAAAAATTAACTCAATCCCACTGACAGGATTGAGAAGAAATTGGCCTCAGTTATAACCTATAGCCTACGTTCAGATTAGACAGTAAAGGTGAGAGTGTTCTCATTCTTTAAACCTAGTGTGCTGGCCAGATTCCAATGCTCCCTGCCCCCTGGTATTCATATCCTTGTATAATTCCTTCCCATACTGTACCAGGGTTGGTTTGTATGATTAATATAATATGGCAGAAGGGATGATATACCGCTTTTGAGCTTCAGTTATAAAAGACTGCAGTTCCTGCTTTGGTTCCACACTCTGTTATCACTGGCTCTGGCGGAAGCCAATTCATGCATGGGCAGCTCTATGGAGGCGCCCACAGACCAAGGGACTGACATCTGCCAACTGCCTTGTGACTGAGTTTGGAAGCAGATCCCAGTTCCCATCAAGACTCGGCCCCAGCCGAGAACTTGACTGCAACCTCATGAGATACCCGGACCCAGAACCATCCAAATCAGCTGCTCCTGAATTTCAGAATGTCAGGAACTGTGTTAGAAGACAGGTTTGTTGTTTCCGGCTGCTAAACTTTATAGTAATTTGTTACACAGCAATCAATAACTCATATATCTATTTTCATAAACAGTCATTCATTTCAAACTTCTCTCGGTAAGCTGTTATTGAAGTGGTATTGTCAAACAGAAGAGAGAAGGTCTCATCTGTCTTTTGCCTTTAGCAGATCAGTAGACTTTGAAGTGCATCTGGATCTTAAAAAATACATTTTCTTCCAATGAGAACGCAAAGTGAAAGTAGTTTGGAGACAACTGCTATTGGAAAAGCTTGTGAGATATTCAGCAATGTTACTACAGAGGTTCCCGCCCACCCCCCTTTTAAAGGAGGCTATTGATTACAAAAGAAAAGGCGACATGTCAGAAATCACTACACCGTAGCCAGCGGGCTGTTACCTAAGGAAAAAACAGTGCAGTTACCAAGGTGATTTGGAAATAGCAGAGGAGGAAGACATGAGGGAGAAAATGCACAAATCTTGTAAATCATACCTAGAAATTTCTGTTAATTATTTTATGATTGCCAATTAAATTTAAAATAATCAATTACTCCAAATTCTCAATATTAATCATTGATTCATTAATCACTGAGAGCCCGTGTTGCAATTTCTCTTTTGGGCTGATCTGGTCATTGGCTGAAGCCTAAGGAAGACAAACAGTAACAGACAGTGATGTAGTCCTATGAGCCGCAATTCTAAACACCAGCAGGAAAAAGAAAAATCAGTTAAAGACATGGTTATGAGTTTAGCAACTGAAAGAAACTGGTGATAACTTGGGTCAGAGAAAAGACTGCCAAGCAAAAACTTAAGATAAAAGGAAGGAAAGGGAAGCTCAGGGAATGTAAAAATGAAGTTTTAAAACAATAATTAAGTGTAAATCTTCGCATAGAGAAAAAAAGAAAATGGAAGGAAAGTTAATGTAAATGATCGTTCTAACGTTTTCTCTCTGCCAGTGCAAATCATATTAAAGCAGGGAAGCAAGAGGTTAGTTCTACTCACTGTCGGAAGGTTTGCTATCACTTAGGAAAGGCTGCTGTTCCATGATGTCCATTGGAATTTTAATACTTGGGGCTGTTTCTGAGTATGGGCAGTCAGACTGTGGAAGAAATTTGTACGTTTTAAGAAAGGTGTTACTATACAGACCTCCCTACCTCCCAATATTGATTAAACTTACCATATTGTCATTTACACTGCACTAAGGAGAAAAGCCTTAGATACAATCATTCCCGCTTGGCTAACTTTTCAAATTCTACCCCATCTTTCTCCCTCACATTTGTCTTTCTCCCTTCTGAGTTAATGGGATGGAGTCAATTAAAACTAGCGCGGCACCAAAAGAAAGGCACTACATATTGGAACAACTGGAAAGCTTTCCATCAGCAAATATTTATGAATTTGTTATCATACACTTAAAAAATGACTTAGCATTTCTCCGTCTAAAGTTCCTCATATGTAAAGTAGGAACAAAAATATATACTAGAAACAGCTGTTTGGGCAATTGAAGACAAGTATGCATGATCCATCAAAATGATCAAGTATATAGTACACAGCAAAAATTAACTACACCCCTATTTTAGAATGGGATCCCAGGGACCCCATTAGAATGGGGATACTTCACTGTGTTGAAAAATTCAGAACAAATCTTCACACAGAAAATCTCATTTTGGCAGTCCTTTCAAAGACTACTAGGACAGGCTCTGTGTGTGTGTGTGTGTTAAACAAATCCCACATTTTCTCCTAGCACTAATTACAGACTCCTGTCAGAGCACCTGCATTCCTCTGAAATGGTCTCCTACAGAAAAAAAATAGGCAATTATTTTATTTTTCAACATAATCACCCAACTGAAGGAGGATCATCTAGGACTATGACAATTATGTAAAAAGACCCTACAGTACAATTCCCTTTCCTTTTAATTGAAGGGTTCCAGAGAAATAGTCCAAAATCATGTCAAAGCCCAATGCAAAGATAAAAACAATAGCAGAGGACTTTGGTTGAGGGCCTACTCCAACATAGACAACGGGAGGTGAGGGCACCAGTATTTGTCGACATTAGGCTTAACATTATTACATAAACTGGAGTCATCTCAAATTTAAATCCTGGATTGTCAACAGCAAATACATTTTATAGCAGCACTAAGTGAACTTTTTACTTATTTATGAGATTGGAGTTCTTTAGATGTGGTGGACTCTTTTTGGTTTGGTTTTCAGAAGTCACTTTATCATTTTTAGTGTATTAATGGTTAAAGAAAGGCTTCAGAAAATATAAAAAACTAAAGAGAGAAAATAAAGGGTAAAGGAAGTTGAAGACTGACATGTAACATGGACAAGTAAACATTTTCGAAACTCAGACATACATCTCACATAAGGGATAAAAAAATTGATTTTTCACATATATTTCTTTAACTAGCGTTACTTTGGAATTCTGGGAAATTCCTTACATCATCAATGTCACTGTCCAGACTTCCTTTCTTCTTTTTCTTTCTCTTCTCATCTTCCTTCTTTTTCTTTTCCTTTTCTGGAATGACATCATCGAGGAAGCTGAGGTCGTGCTGGGAGAAGAGGTAGTCCATGCCTTTTCTGACGGCTACCAGTGCCAAGATCTGAAAGAATATATATAAAAAATATGAAAGGAACCATGTCAGATGAAGTCATAATGGTATAAATACTTCCCTATCAAAGGCAGCTGAAACCTACTTTGTATAAGGCTAAAGGATGCTGGAACTCATCTTGCTTGTATGAACTTATATTAAGTGGACCATAAACATTTTCTTCATGGAGAAAGTTGGCTTATAAAAGTGTTAATTGACACTCACTTTGTTTTGCTCAATGAAATGTGTCATCAATTTCACTTAGAATCTCAATGTGAAAGGGTTAGTTTTTAAATTATTTTCTTCCATATTTTAGCTTTTCAATAAAATAACTAAAAAGTTAAAGAAAAAAAAAATGACCTGCATATGATTTCTAATTACTCAAAATTAAAACAGTATACAAGTTGTAGAAAATCTGTGCAACATACAGTACACTCAGACATCTTTAAAGTATTAATAATGAGTAGCAGTTGGGTATGCACAGACCATTTAATCTACTGAGCGACTTAAAAAACTACCATTAACTGCATACTTACCATGTTTCAGATGCTGTGCTAAAACTCTTAGGCAGTATTTTCTTATTCTCACAACAAACCTAAGGAGTAGATATTATGATCTCTATCTTACAGCTGAGGAAACTAAAGCTTATAGACATACGTACATCATCCAAGCACTAAGCCAGAAAAAGGAAGCGTACGGAGGGGCCCAGCTGCCTGCCTCTAAAATCAGTATTCTTCAACTCCGTATCTTTGATTCTATAAATAGCCCTTGAAGATGAACTTCTGAAGGGACATTAAAGATGTCCTTGCTCAATGGTGAAATGTGTACGTGCTGGCATATCAGTCATGACTCTGTTTCAAATAAACAGTGGTCTTTATCTATATGCTCTCTGGGTTTCAGTTTCTTCATTTCCTAGACAAGTTAATAAATCTGCTCTACTGAACTTATGTGATTGTTTTGGGATCAAATAAAAGCTCTCAAAAGATGAAAATACTTTATAAAGGTAAAACTTTGTTTTATTATTTAGCACAAGCAATAAGTGAGTTACTAGATATATTTCAAATTTAACCTGTCTAAATTTGTTTTTTTCTTGGCTTTAGCAAAACTAATTGATAGGTACATTATACCAAAAGGCAAATTGGAGTTTTTCTCTCACTCAGTGTGTTTTTCAGTAAGTTAACAGAGTTGAAGAGGGAGTTGGGGAACTGGGTGAAGGAACTGAGAAGTATAGATTGGTAGTTACAAAACAGTCATGGGGATACAAAGTACAGCATAGGGAATTTAGTCAATAATATTATAATAACTATGTATGGTGCCAGGTGGGTACTGGCATATCAGGGGGAACACTTTGTAAAGTATGTGATTGTCTAACCATAATGCTGTAAACCTGAAACTAATACAAAATAATATTGAATGTAAATTATAATTTAAATAATTAAAAAATAAAACAGAATAACATAAAAACAAAAAGATAAAAAGAGATATAGGGGATTATCAAGAAAAAAATATGACTACTAATATCACTAGTATTTTATATCATTATCCCTGCATCCTTGGAGAAAAAAACCCCCACACAATTATAAATAATAAATAACCATAAAACAAAATAATAATCCTGACTAAGAGAATTTTTATAAAAAATATAATATGGTTTATGTATGAAAATTGTTTCCAAAGCCCTAGCGGTGACAGAGCAGACTTGAGGCTGGCTTTGTATATATATTTTCTTGCAAGAAATGGAAAGCTATGGTAAAGTATAAAATTCAATAAGGAAACCAAATACAGAGCTTGAATTTTCTTTTTCCATCTTTCACATTCAATATTATTTTGTATTAGTTTCAGGTGTACAGCATAGTGGTTAGATAATCATATACTTTCCAAGTGATCCCCCTGATATTTCCAGTACCCACCTGGCACTATTCACGGTTATTACAATGTTAATGACTACATTTCATATGCTGTCATTTACGTCCCCGTGTCTGTCTTGTAACTACTAGTCTACTTCTTAATCCTTCCACCTTTTCACCCAGTACATCTCACCATATCACAGCAAGGATAGAGAGCCCAGGCTTCCATTTAGCATGATGAAACTAGCGAGACCTTCAAAAGCAAAACTTCTCATTCCTTTTCTTCTAATTCACTGGATAGCCTCTCATAAGTTTCCCAATTTGTCCGCTATTATTTGGACTGAAATCTGCCATAACTTTGTTACATTGACTCTATTGTACATAATTCTATTGTATTTTAAAAATAATCAATGTGTACTGGTGTCTACTATGTGCCGGGCGTTGTGCTATATACTTGATATTCATTATTGATGCTCAGAATAATAACATTCCTCAGCTTATGGATAAGTCAATGACAGCTCAGGGAGTTTCACCATCCAGCACGAACCAGGGCCGGAATCTGAACTCAGCTTAGTCTGACTCTGAGGTCCAGTGTAGATAGTCACAGACAGAGGAACCTTAAATTACAACTGAGCCAATCTAAATGATTTAGTCAAAGCTGGAAAAAACTGGAACCACACATAAAAGATACCTGTGTCTCCCATATCACCATAACCACATGATATTGGTATGACCTCATGGGTAGGTTCAATGAAAGAAATCCCTACCATGACTGGAAAAATGATAGCAGCCACGGTTGACTTGAGGATCCAGAGCAGGGCTAGACACAACACCTGCAGGAAGGTGAACAGGTGGACTCTGCGCAGCGGGACATGGCGCAGGTAGATAAAGTCAGGCTGATGCTTCAGAGGCATCAGGAGCAGCTTCAGGCGATCCATGAACTGGGGAGCAGAGGGAAGGAGAGAACAGCTGCATTACTTCAAAAGCAGATGCACGAGGTCATTTCCATTATGCCCAACCCTCCACTAGTGACTCATACCCTATAATTTGGGCAAGCAGTATCTTTTCCAGAGGACAGTGGTCAAGGAGTGCAGAAATTTAGCCTAACCAGCACCATTAGACATTGTAGGAGTCTTCCGATTTTCATTACTTTGCAGGAACGTTATGCAGACAAAATGAGATAAAGTGGCCTCCAAGAATAAAGTTCCAAAGCACAATATAAATTCTAGACGTTCGTCTCTTTCTATCTATACTATCTGAGTCTTGGGACAGAGGATCTTGTGACTACTTTAATAATGATATGCAGAAGCAAGACACATAACTAATGTATCCTACACTAATGCATCTTATACTACCTTTGTTGTCTTATCTGAAAGAGGAGGAGATGCAGCTATGTGTCACGTACATTTCAGGGATGTTTCACAGACAAAAAGGAAGTATCCAACTTGAAAGTGGGGATGCACTGGCATTTTCATAAACTCCACATTATCTATGGCATAAGTAATACATTCAGCAATGCACTACCATTTTTAAAAGAGAAAAGCCATGTGACTATTAATTACAGTGAGTTTCAGAGTGTCCACAACCAGATACCAGAATCCTGGAGAGGCTGTCATACTGTCATGGATAAGCAGGTATTGAAACTACTGCTGAGCACCTGGGTGCCAGGTGCTGTGCTTCACGGAATAGCTGTTGAATTTACACTGATGATGATTATAAGGATGATATCTCCAGACCCATCATACGATCTTTCCGATGAAAGATGCTCAGTACATAACTGCTAAAGTGAATTATTATGCAACAAGAACTCTGAAATAATATCCCTGCTTTCTCTCTGGAGGAAAGGGAGAAGTGTAAAAGAAAACGAGACTATCACAGACAACAGTCTCTGCGCGCCTTGCTGCTTATAAAGATCAGGTTACAAAATTTCCTGCTAAAATCAAATCTTGCCAAAAGTTCTAAAAGAGGAAGAATCAAGAGGAAAGTAAGGAAAAGAGAGAAAAGGCAACAGGGACAACAGCCGAGTTTTAGAACGCGACTATCTTTCCCTTCACAAAGGGTTTCCCCGTCATTGTGATATAGATGTCTTTCCTCTATTTAATAAACAATGTACTGAGCTCTAACCATCAATCAAGCATTTAGAATGCATACAATCAAACTTCTTATCTAGACTGACCTTTCAAAGCTAAACAAAAATAAGCACTATTAGTTTAGAGGTACATTATTTTCACATCTTTCCACTTAGGAGAGTAAACAATATATACAATGCCAGGAACAAATATAATATTTTGATACATTTATCTGTCCCAAAGTTTCATAGGCACAAATAAACATGCATGCATCGTCATCTAGTCCAATCTCTGAAAACCGCCTTGTGTTTTGTAACAAATAACCAAATGGTGAAGAACTCTATTTAATGGGCCTAAATAAGGAAAAATAAAGTAGCCTTTTCTCTTTTGGGGAGTCTGGCCACTTGTCCAGCTCTAGCTGACTATAATACTAAATTAATCTAAACTCAATAAATGAAATGAAAGCAAGGACAATTATGAACGGGTTTAAATAAATTGTTATGATGTTCGCAGAACATGCTGTCTTTTCCCATTAAAACGTTACTAAGTGCTAAATAAGGCTTCAGCTAACAAGATGCCAGAAATCAGCAGAAGGACTTTCAGTTTCCCAGTGCCAATTAAATTAAACCTCAATGGAAAGACAAAGTTTTCTCTAATGACTTTTTTTTAAAGGGGGACAGTTTACCAAAGTTGTGAATAGCTGAAGATTTCAACAAAATAATACATAAACCACAATGACTTTATTCTTTTATTGGTTCAAAACTTTGATCACTGAATCCAGTCATGTAAAAAGTACATCACGTAAGAAGAACCTGTTCTTAGTATAGGTAAAGGCAAATGGCAAATAGTATCTTGAAGAGTACACTGAAAGGGCTGATTTCCTTTTTGAGATGAAAAGAAAAAAAGAAGAGGAAGGAAGAGGAGAGAGAAAAGGGGAGGAAAGAAAGAAGAAAGGAAGGTAGATCATAGCTCTCTTACTTTCCTGATCACATAACCTTTAACAGCCTATTTTAAGAATGGGTATGTAGGATAACATTTGTTAACACAAGCTAACTTTGTTAATTAAATCAGAAAATGAAAAGTAGATAATGGTAGAGAAAGTAGAAAATAAATGCACTTTAAAAACTTAGCAAGTAATTAGCACTTTCCTTTTCAGAGATTGATTACTGGACTAGCCTCACTACTAGGAAAACTTGACTGTGCTTAGGTGGCTATGGAAAACTTACCTGGACACCATTAAGGGATGCTACCCCCATATACAGGAACACACCATAGAGTACAGGCATGGGAATAAACTAGGAAAGAAAAAAATTGGAGACCAGTTAAAAATAATAATAATAATAGCAAATACAGTAATGGAGAGGGGTAGTTTAAATAAAAGCTAAATCTGAAACTAAAAGATAGAACATGATAATATAATGATCTCTAATTAGTGTGCTTTAGTAATCATTGACAAACTTCAACCCTCTGTACTAGAAATAGATGCAGGTGAAGGAGACACTGAATTTTCATTTGATGCCTGTTTGTATTTGTTTACAATGAGCATGCATGACCGTAATAAGTAGTGTTTTTAATGGGGAAAAAGTCTGTTTGCTTTTCGCCTTAAAAGGAATGACTATGTAAGCCAGATGTCTGCATGAGCTGTGAGGTAGAAAGAGGGGCAGAGGGTCTGTCACCTCACTCCTGAGGCCAAGTTCTTTGCCCAACAGTCTATTGATTTTTTTCCTTAATAATTTTCACCAAATGATCTATCTACTTGGTGTTTAAATGCTTCTTTCAACTAAAGCATCAAACGACTGTCCCCTTTCTTCTCCTCAGGAATACTGGGAACTCACTAATGAGAACACCGCTTGAAAGGAGCATCAAGCATCTGCAAGCAATTAATTCCACACAGGGATTAATACACAGCTTTCAGAACTAAATTAATACATTTCATGCTTTAATTAGCAGGAGTCTTTTTACATTATACAAAGCAGTTTAACAATGGGACTGGGACGTTCCACTGTGCTGTTTGAAAGTTTTATCTATTCCTAGACCTTTGACACTTCCCTAGGACTCCTAGGATGAAGCGTGTCAAGGATGAGCTTCTGGGAAGTCTTCTATCTGCACCAACAAAGGTTCCCAAGGTTCCAGTTTGAAAAGGAGCTCAAGTAACTTCAGGAGTTTTCAAAGCTAAAACCACAATCAATTAAGCCCAGTCTTACCTCATCTACATAAAGTAGGCTATCGTAGCAAGAAAACAGAATGACTTTAGAGTCATTTTTAAAGAACTATTGCATGTGTTAAGTGATGCACAATTTCTATCAGTCTTTCTTTGTGATTACCTCAGTATCAGTATGAGAGCCTTTGGTCACTATTGGGGAAATAGCAAATTTCAAAATATCACAGGGATCTCCAATTGTTATTGGTTTGTTAGAGGGATTGTTAAGTTTATATGGAATAAATACACTTATGTCCATAAAACATCACATGCTTCTAAAAAAGACTAAGAATTTTAACATAGGTAATTTGACCTTCAGCTCAAAGAAAAGTAAATGACATTGAACGTTGAAGGAGGTGCGAGGGATGGTGTGAGTGGTGGGGGAGCCCTGTGTGCTGCAATACCCACTAGTCCCCCCAAAGAGGTGAGCACATCACGCTCCAGCCACTGGAGTTCTGACACGTGCCTTTATTCCTTTTAGAATGCGAATGTTCCATTCCTTGCCATTACTCTGTATAAATTGACAACAATAAAATAAGAAATGAAACTAACAACGGCACCACTTTATCGCTTTGACTCCTTTCTTAATTTTTAAAATACATTCCACAGGTAGGGGCACTGCCATGGTTCCTTAATACAGGATGATTTCCTTCTTGTCATTTTATTTCTAATTTCTTGGGGAGAAAAGAAAGGTGGGAGGGGGGAAAGAGACATACAGTTCATGGGAAACTGGTTAGAAGCCCTGCAGGAGTTACTTTTTAATCTGTATAAAGTGCTCTCCTGGCTTGAAGGGAAATAATCACAAAGGTGATCGTGGCCCTGTGTCCACCCCTCACCTTGGCTTCGCTCATATTTTCTCTAATGTGGTTCTAATGCCAAAGTTGAGGCAAGCTGTGCTTGTGCCCAGGCCTATTCTTTCTGAACTTACGATGACAAATGTTACTGAATCCACCACAAAAAAATTCAGAATTCACCAATAACTCAGAACGGCATGGGATATGGGTAGGAAAACAGCTTCAAATATGAAGATGTTTTAAAAAATGATCCAGTGGTGAAAAGGAAACAGTACATACAAGAGAGACTATTAATTAGATTTTCGGCCAACTTCACTGTGATACAGATGCCTTGTGAAATTCACCATTTTCTGTACAGTAATGAAGTGTCTCAATAAAAATCTTCCAGTGTGGAAATCTTGATAAATTTTAACAGAATTACTGAGTTAGAGGATATTTCTTATTGGATTTGGTTAATGAGTCACACAAGAAGGTCAATCTTTAAAAATTCATTACAATGGAATCATTCATCACAACAAAAATTTTGCCCCAGGATGGAAAGAAGAATGTGTTTTTAAAAAATGGGATCCTCTTTTAAGTTAAAATAATATACCTAGTAAGAGGAGAGACCTATTTTTACAAAGCAAGACAGGAGAAATTAAAACACAAGGTATACTAGGTTTATAGGCATAATAAGAATTGCCAAATGATAAAATTATGCAAAGAAAATTATTTAATCAATCATACCCAGAAAGCCAAAAAGTATAATTATAAAAAATATTATAATGCCTTTAATAAACATAAAAATGAAAAAAAATTGCATGCTTGATCCTACAACCAGATAGAATAATGAAACTGAGATGAAGTCAATGAAGACGAACATACTGAGACTAGGTCAGATTCAGGCTAGGTAATTGAAATGACCAAATTCTGGTGACTGTCATTCCACTTTCTTTCACTTCTCCTTCCCTTTGATTTTTCTGATAGTGTTAGATTATTCCCATAAGGAAAAAAAATGCAAAGGGTAAGTCTAATAACAAAGATAGATTGTAGGTATCCACAGCACAGACTTCAGTACAGGAGTGAGGCCTCCCAGCAAAATAATGTATGTGTGTGTGTGTGGCGGGGGAGGGGGGGTGGTAGAGGGTGAGGGGGTGGGGTATAAAACTCTGAACAAAGTCCTATTTAAGAGCATGGGCACAGAAATCAGACAGCATAGGTCTGCCTAATAATCTTCAATAACTGATAAATGTGGCATTGATGTCATTATCAGGACCGGCACTGCCAAGTCAAAAGCCTGCAGCTGCAAAGCACAACTCTCTTTGGTCCCTCCGGGGGGGCCAGAGAGAGGGGGTGGGTAGGACACGGACCGGAGTATAGACCAGAAGGATTGCTGCAACGGTCAGACTTGAAGCCTGGGTTCTATATAAGCTCTACAGTATTGCCCTTTCAACTATAACAGCTGCCCTTAGGAACATGTTATTAAAATAACATCCCAGTGCCCTGAAGCCTTACAAGTCTGGGTTAATATGAAAGTTGCTGACTTGCACACTGCTGCCTCGTCATTGAAGAAACTGTGGAGTGAGGTACGATCAGTTTGTGAAAATGCCACATTTCTCTCCACGTGGGAGAGTTGGGAAATGGATCAAAGAGGCTGGAAAAGATTGCCTCATGGGAAACGAAACTGAATGAATTATTTGACAGTAAGTCCTGTTTTATTTTAAAAGGAGGTAAACTCTGATGGTTATGAAATCAACCTTTGGAGCCAGACTGCCTAAGATCAAATCTTGGCTCTGCCATTGAAGAATGTTGTGACCTGACTGGTTATTCATCATTTTTCTTATCTGAAAAATGAGTGCAATTATTAAGATAGTTTTGTAAGTGTTATTGGAGAACTAAATGTTAAAAATCTGTACTGAGCCCTTAGTCCAATACCAAGCTCAATAAATGGAAGCTCAATAAATGGAAGCTATCATCATCATCATCATCATCACTATTGTTTATCTGTATTCCCCTGTTAATGAGCAGGGTGTGTGGCATATTGTCGGAGTTCAACCAATGTTTGCCAAGTACTAATTCTTTGCTACCCTTCACATTTTAGAACACTAAACCAATCTGAAAGATAAATTTTGGCCACCACTCCTCCTACTGATAAACTACTTCAAGCAAAGGCAACAGAGGTAGCTGTGAACTTTACACGATCTTTATTTCTTTAGGCTTGCCAGAGGAATGAGAAAAGTAAGCTACCTTTCATCTTTTGCTGCTCTTTAGTCTCCCAAACAGAAACACACATCTGAAAGGTTTAACCAGCCTGGGAAGCCAGTTATGCCTGCTTCCCAACAGTTCTGCATTGAATCAGTAGTGAGATCTGAGGCATGTAAGACGTAGCTGGCTAAGGTCAAGGGGTATCCTTGTGAACTTAATAAAGCTACTACACTATGATTCCTTATATTCTTCCATGTAAAAAAGACAGATTTTGGCAAAGAGATCAAAACAGAGGTCATAAACTTCATGTTCAAAGTAAGCCTGCCTAAGCAGGGGCAGGAAACAACTTCCTATACAGCTTAATGCATGGGAGAAAATTACTAGGATCATCTCAGGCCATTAAACTTGTGAGGGATTACAAGTTGAGCCATTTCATTTTAAAAAGTAAAAGTCACACATTTCTCTCGATCCCATTCATTTGATCTGCCTTTTAAGGCAAACTCTTAAGCAAAACCATTCTCTAAAGGTGCCACCTGTTTCTTTAAAACACACACAGTCACATGGTGAGGGTGGTGGGAGGGAAGTTTCCCTCCTCCAAGGTAACCGCCATCATGCTTTTCTGTGTAAATTCTGAGGTTAATTGTTAATCTTGACTTTTAATTGTAACTCTGATTCACGGGTAACTTAGGTTTTAGTTTAACTCTACCCTTAACATCTCCTTCTTCCTGCATTGACTTTTCAAATGAGCTACAAAAGTTCTGTGGTGAATGCATATGACATCAAACTTTAATGATAAAAAGGACATGTGGTCTAAAATTAGCTGCTTTGCCCTGGCTGGTGTGGCTCAGTTGGTTCATGCACCAAACGGACCTGGTTTTATTCCTGGTCAGGGCACATGCCCAGGTTGTCGGCTGGATCCCCAATAGAGGGCATGCAGTAGGCAGTCGATTGATTTTTTTTCTCTCTCCCTTTCCCTTCCTCTCTCTATAAAATCAACGAAAACAAACTCATTTATAAAAACAAAAAAATAAATGTAAATAAATAAAATTAGCTGACTTTATCAGCGATGATTGTTAAAGTAAAGAATAGTTGTAATTACTTAAAGAAACAACCACAGTAGTCATTGCTATACTACTATTTTACTCTTGTTTTTAAATCTAGGTTTCCCACAATATGTTGGAAACTATATTAACAAAACAATTTCATGTCCCACATTTTGGGCAAAGTCTTGCCTAATAAAACTGTTTGCTGGACTGCCTTTTTCCCTTATCCCTACAATGACTCTTTGCATTGACCTAAAGTAGGAGGTGGAAAGAGCCACAGTTATGGACTCTAGCAGCTTAATGAGGGTGAGCAAAGCTTGGATCACTTAAGGGAGGTCAAAGGAAAAGTGAGCTCATGTTCACTGATCCCTTTGATCCCTTACATCTCTCCTTTTCCTTTCTCTGCATTCTAATTTGTTCCTGCAGATACTAAGGTGCTTTGCATATCCGAGGCAAAAAGAATCACTGGAAAAGAAAGAACAAAAATGTTTTCAGCTTTAATTCCTCTTCAGCCATATTTGGGTGCATGGTGAGAAAACAGGAAGTATTGTTGAAAATGTGAGTTTTGCATCTCATCCGAAAAATAGCAACTTATACAGTATCTATTCTCTGTGTCTTTTTGGAGTCACACATGATTCCTCAGCTGACAGTCTCTCCAAGATGAAGGCCAATTTGTTGTAACAACTAAAGAACTTTAAACACATCTGACTTTGTGCTAATGAAAATAAATAATCCTATATAATAAAAGCCTAATATGCTAAGTGTCTGGTCATCCATTCAACCAATCAAAGCATAATATGCTAATGATATGCTAAGGCCACTCACTATGATGTGCACTGACCACCAGGGGGCAGACGGTAGACTGGCTGACCAGTTGCTATGATGTGCACTGACCACCAGGGGGCAGTCAACCAGTCGCTATGACGTGCACTGAACACCAGGGGGCAGACACTCCGACCGGTAGGTTAGCTTGCTGCTGGGGTCCAGCCAATGGGGACTGAGTGAGACAGGCCGGACACATCCTGGAGCCCTCCCACAGTCCCTCCCCAGCTGGCCAACCTCCCGCATCCCTCCCTGGCCCTGACCGTGCACTGGTGGGGTCCCTCAGCCTGGCCTGCATCTTCTCGCAATCTGGGACCCCGCGGGGGATGTCAGAGAGCTGGTTTTGGCCTGATCCCACAGGCCGGGCCAAGGGGCCCCACTGGTGCACGAATTCGTGCACTGGGCCTCTAGTATAAAAATAAAAGAAACAATGGGTGTGTGTGTGGCGGAGATGAGTAAATATGAACTGGTGGAAAGATCTTTGTATATTATCCCTTGTCTAATAATGGCCAAGTATAAAAGACCCCATAAAAGAAACTTCGCAGTGTGCCAAGCAAGCCCACCTCCAGGGAGCCCAGGAGCAGATTCATTCCCAATACAGCTTCCCACACATGGGGTCAGAACTGCAGCAATGACCTCTCTAATAACTGATCTCTGCAGATGAGGTCTGTGTCCATGTGGTAAAAAGTTGTCACTAGATTTTCCCATCAGCTGATGTGCTGCTGTCTCTGGGACAGCACAGGAACAGAAAGCACTTTGGCAGTGGATTTAATGCTGGGGAGCCCTACCCCACTACTTGCTGTGCACTGGCAAGAGCAACAGTAGATTTCCCCCTGTCCATGTAGAACGGGGATTTTCAATCTTTGTCGCAAGAATTTTTTAAAAATTGATTTTAGAGAGAGAGAAATATCAGTGTGACAGAGAAACATCAAGCAGCTGCCCCACCACCACCACTCACCCTAACCAGTAACTGAACCTGAAACCCTTTTGGTATTGGGGGGAAGATGCTCAACCAACTGAGCCACCTTGCTGGGGCTGTACTGCGAGGAATTTTAAAACATGCAATACCTGATTATTTAGTCAGGGGAACTGACTTATTTTCCTTTACGGTGTCAAATAAAAAATGACAACAGCCAACACAATAGCCATTCACTGATAGTGAATCAAAACTTTATCTGTTTTTTTGTAAAATCAGCAAAAGTTATATTTTTTTGGTGTGTGGCAGAATTTTAGTAATTAGTTTATGTGCTCCGGGAGATGAAAAAGGTTGAAAATTGCTGCTGTAGAACATAAGATCTATACTCTTTTAAGGTCCTCTCTCTATAATCAGAAATGTCTTATGTAAAGTTGTTTTTAATTTTACTACTCCATGTGTTGCATGAGATACATATTCCCTCCTGATTGCAGTCAAAAAAGGAATTAAACCAGTTAATTGACATTGTGGAAACCAAGGATGAAAGATGAATATTTAAATCTTTTAACTGTTCACCAGGTATTTTGTGCATAATTTATGCATTAATCTAAGTATCCTAAAGGCAAAGTCAATCTTATCTATATGTTAAGAATTTATAATTTCATTGTTCTCAAATTCATCTGATTGGTGATTGACATATAATGTTCTAACCTGAGAGAAATGGATGGTTTTAGCCTTTCACCATTTGTCCTGTATTGTTTTTACTTGTGCAATTAAATACGCATTTTAAAAACCTTATAAATTAGAATTGTTTAAAAATAAAAAAATTGTCAGAAAAAAACTTTGGAAGGATATTGCTAACAGTTGTTTATGGCTATTGGTTTATAGGTGACTGTGGTGCTTTGCATTGTGGTTCAAAGCATAAGATACAAATTATCAATAACTGGCTAGTACTGATTATATGATACACAAGAAAATAAAATGCTTGTGTTACAAAAGAAAACGGGAAGTTTCATGACAAGTATGTATTAATCTGAACCTGTGTTAGTCCTATTTCTGTTTCTAAGTAGGCTTTCACATGTAGTTTATATTTATCTATTTAGGCAGACATTCACCCTATCAATCAAACCTTTATATTGACTCATAACTTTCTAAAAAATCTACTATATCATTTCCCTTCTTCAAAAATTTAATTCTAGGCATGTGCGCGCTCTCTCTCTCTCTCTCTCTCTCTCTCTCTCTCTCTCTCTCTCTCTCTCTCGGAAGCAAGTCCAAGCCTTTCCCCTTTCCTGACCACCCTTTCTTCCCCCCAAGGCACGTTACCTTTGCCTTTCCTTCCTCTAAGCTCCAAGGCCCCTTCTTTTGCATCTATAACTTGTTCCCTGAGCCTGCACAGCCCCGCTGTCTCACTTCGACTACCTCTGTAACTTTCTAAATAAACTTTCTCTTATAATTTGAAAAAAAGTTCAATTCTAAGTTTTCTAATTATAAATCAATAATTTTACTGTATTCGCCCTTTGTGAATATTAGGCCTTCTTATTCAAAGAAAATAGAAATAGTCAGTAATGATTAAGAATAGGAGAAAAATTGCAAAATGATTATCCTGAGTCACTCATGTTATCCAGGGGTCTATTATGGGGAGAAAAGGGGGCGGGAATTAGAGAAAGTAAATGGAAAGTGATGGGAAGAAAGGATGAAAGAAAACTAAGGGGATAAAATATGTGGGGTGGAGGAAAATCAGGTTGAATCATATGCAGTTGCCATTTTCATAGGTGAAAGGTTGGAATACTGGTAATTTAATATAGTTTAAACCAACTAATTGCAACAATAATAATAACAATAATGATAGAGTATAGGAGTGAGAAGAAAACCAAGATGAAAGTTTTTTAAAGTCCTCATTCTATCTGACCCCTGCTTCAGTGCGTTACAGAACTAATGAGAGTCCTGCAGATGTTTCACAAGAAATTCTACTCTTCACATACCAGTGATCTGCCAGTATTGGAAAAGGACAAAATATTTCACATATTTACCTTCAAGATGGGAGCCATGAAGACTGACAGGCCAGTCAGAATAAACACAAGGGTTCCAGTGACTCTTTGTTCCCTGAAACCAAATCAAAAGATTACCAATCTACCTCTTGTTTTTCCACCTTCAAAAAAGACTATACATTGACCAAATCAATGTTTGGCTAACATAGCAAAGGTGTTGATATCATATGTAATTAATACCTCAAGGACAGCATATACGCTCAACATAAATATAAAATTCTCTTAAAACTATTGCAATATGTGATTTTAATTCATCAAGGGGAAACTGATTCTGCTAAATCCGATGCTCCTTTTAGAATCAAGAAAGAAAAGAAAAAAATCACTTGCTCTTGGCCCAACAATTATGGGCCTCTTTGAAGCCCTTATTTTTTAAACAACTTGAACTGTTGTGTAATTACACCTTCTTTCACAGGAGACAGATATTACATTGTCCCACATTCTAATTAATAAACAGCTCAGGGAAATTTCATAAGTGCAATAAAATCTCATCAGTCTAATTTCCAAATCTACAACAACAAAAGTACTTTTTAACAAATATGATTCCCATACAACACCCCCTCCCCCGGCCCCCAAGAAAGAATCACCCACTGTTGTGGCGTGGGAAACGGTGGCTCTGTCATGTGAGCTATTCACCCCAGCACTGAGGGGCAGGGTTTGCTGTAAAAAGTAGACAACAGCATATAAAGGTCCTGTAAAGTCCTTCATGGCTACTCAAGTTTAACAGCCAAAAGTCAAAGTTTCTCAGGCTTATGGGGATCAAAAATGAACTGGAAAGTAAGAATTCTTTTCCCTTCATAGAATCTTAAAAATCATAAGCCAACTCGAGAGTTTTAGGGAGTCTCAAAAGGGCCAAAGATGAAAGGGTTTGGTCTTTATATATGATATGCTAGAGTCAGTACCACAGCATCAGAAGGACCTGCATGTTGAAGAAATGAGTGACCTGTTTGCATTTTTACATTGTATCACTTAGCCTTTCATAAATCAAAGAAAATTTAGTTATCATAAGAAGCGAACTCAAAAAAAAAATTATTGAGAACTCTCTGATGAAAAATTTAGTCCTTTCTAGAAAAGGAAGTATGGGAATAAATTAATCATCACTAGCCCTTTCTCCTCCATATTTTCCCATTTCCTTATGATTGACATGGATGTGTGCACGCAGTGTTCTGTAGAGTCACTGTCTTCTGACTTCACATACCTCACTCCAAGAAACTTGGGCTGTTCTCCAGGGGCAGAGGTCTCTGTCTCCATCTTCAGACTGTCGATGTGAGCAATGGAGATGACAGTCGCAGCCACGTACCATGGAAGAGCCATGAAGGAACACACCACCATGAGGATGGCCACCCAAAAGAGATCCAGGTGATATCCAGCTCCTTTCTGTGGGAAAAGGTAACAAAACCACATGAAGAAAATACTCATATTGCTATCAAGTCATAGCCCCAGGTGGGAATTAAGATTAGTCAAAGAAACCAACTCGCTTTGCTGGATAAAAATTTCTACTAAAAGGTAAGCTCTTTGAGTGAAGTGCCTTCATTGCCCTGTTATTCACCCTAGCGACTAAACACCAAGTGGCCACATTACACATCTTCTAGCTTGATGTATGACTGCTTACTTATTATTTGTTTATTGTTACTTATCTTCTCTGCATCCAATTTTGTAATCAACAACAGAGATACACATCTACCTTGACGAGTATTGGAACCATTCAATGAAATAACAGAAGCAAAGCATCTTGCAGTGGTTGCTGCATAGTAGCAGCTCAATAAGTGGTAATAATAGCAATAGGGATATTGATTGGTGTTAACATAAGCAAGAAAAGCACCTTAAAAGCAGGCATTGTGCTGTCTCTGCTTAACTGCTTAGCAGTATGCTGTTCACCTAGACAGCATTCAGCATATGAAGACGAAAGATCTGAAAGCAACCTTGAGAGGCTATGTAGAAGACCATTTCTCACCTTTCATAGTAGATGAAAATAACTGTTTATAATCTGCTGCACATTATCATGAAGGTAATGAATATCCCCATAACCAGAATAGGCTGATTTCAAACATTGCCCAATGGTCACAATAACATTTATTGACTGGGAGAGCAGACAACGTAACAAAAGGTCTAACTCTTTTACTCACTAAATAAATATTGTCAAATGTGTCCACAATGTTATTCTATGGCTCTGTTTCTCTGTTCTATTTGTGAAGAAATCAAATGCTTAATGCCCCTATGGAGCCTGAGAAAATAGAGCAGTTCATTTTCACAGCATGAAAGCAGCAGCACCAAGAGCCAGAATATGACCAATCCCAGGGAATGGAGACATTGGCTTTAAAAAATGAGAATGTGATTTTACACTAGGAACCCAGTGACTGTTTTGATTCAGATCCTGTTACAGTTAGTCAGAACACTGCTCTCCTCTCTCTGAAAGGCCAAGATTTCACCCCTGGCTCACACACATGGGTCTAATCATGTTCTCACAGAACTCATCACAGGCAAGGGGAGCTGACACAAGAAAAAAAAAAGCATAAATTTACTGAGTCCAAGTTTGACTAAGAACAAAAATCTCTTTGGGAGACAAAGAGATTAATACAATTCATAAAACCAGTTCATTTCAGCATCAGTGGTTTGAAAGCATAATGGTTTGAAGTAGGCGTGGAGTAAGGTAGGGGAAAGGAGGACAAAGATGGGGATGGTCAACATAAACTCATTAAACAGTGACAAATGAGATAATTATCATGATATATCTGGGGGCCCAGTCATTCATTCTTTCAACAAATACTGAAAATTTATTAATAGGCATAGTCCTAGGTGTTGATGACACACTTGAGAATAAAATAGACAAAGGTTCCGGCACTTACGGAGTTTCCATTCTACTAAGAGAGATAACAATAAACAACATAAATTAGTAAACTACCCTGTATCTTAAAGGGTAATAAGCATGAGGGAACTAGAAGTACTTGGGCTTGTATGCTGAGTACATGGGAAGCCACTGAATGGCAGGATTTGCTTATGTTCTAAGCACGATGGCTGTTGTGTTAGGAACAGCCTGAAGAGGGTCAAGGACATAAGACCTCCTAACTTACAAGTTCCATGTGAGAGCTCATGATAGAACGAGAGAGGCAGCAGTAAAGATGGCAAGAACTGTTTGGATTCTGATTATACCTTAAGGTGGCACTGACAAAGTGTGTTCACTCCTGCCTGGGGATGTGTCTTATGACCTTGCTATATGCCACTCATGATATGGCTTCTGTTCACATCTGTAACCTCACCGTTCACCTGTCCCCGGCTTGATTCCTATGCCATAACTACTTTCAACCACATGTACTTCCTTGAATATATCTTACTCACTAATGCTTTTGTCTCTTTGCCCACACAGCACCCCATACCTGGAATAACGGCTACTCTGCCTTCTTCTTCCATTGGCTCAGTACTGCTCATTCTTAAAACAAATCAGTTTTCACCTTTTCTGGTAGTTTTTCCTGCCTCAGTCAGGTGAGACGGCTGAGTTCCTTCAGGTTAGGTCTCCTTTTTCATGTTTTTCTATCTGTTATCTCATGCTTTCCTCGATCACAGCACTCATCGCACTGCTTTAAAGTTGTATATTTATTTATCTGTCTTTGACATTAGACTATGAGTAACAATAGGACTGCAACTGTATCCTGGATACTTTAGCAGAGTGCATGATATATAGTCAATTCTCAAGTAATCTTTACTAAAAACTGAATGACAATCAAGATGGTGTGGTTCAGTGGTTTAGCACTGACCCATGAACTAAGAGTTCTCTGGTTAGATTACTGGTCAGGGCATATGACCAGGTTGCAGGCTCAATTCCCAGTGAGGGTGTGTGGGAGGCAGCTGATCTATGTTTCTTTCTCACCTATGTTTCTATCTATCTCTCTCCCTTCTTCTCTCTCTAAAATCAATAAAAAATATTTTTAAAAAATGAATGACAAATAGGATGTATACATTCTTCTGAATGTCAACTATAATTTATTTATTGGCCATTCAAAAAATTAAAACTTTATTTGTTAATTAGTAGAAATATGAGTCATTTTGGGGGGAAGGAATGGAGGTTGACAGCAGCTGGGAATATCACATAGTTTTAAGCCCTATTTAACTTAAATCACTCAAGACTATATTAGAGGTACCACCAGGGTAGTTAGTAGGCAGGATCCCCAAATCTTGTCTCCAAGAAAGTTGTAATAACCTCAAGATGTGGATACTGGCCAGATCAATGGGTCAAAAGAATTAGCTGTTGCGGAAAAGTCTATGCTATGAGCTATCTTGATGCTTTCTTAAACTCTTTCGACTAAAAGAAGTTTGAGTAAAATATCCTGGAGACTAGCAAAAAGGGGCCACATAATACCAAAGAGGTAATATGAGGATTTTACAAAGCAGAATACAAACCTGAGAAAGCAAAAGCACCAGAATAAATAAAAGTTCTGGGGCAAAATAATACATAGATAATTACTCTGTGCCTCTTAACATCACTCTCTTCAAAAAGTCTTCCTTTACATAAACACATTGAGACCATAACTTAGAACGATTTTTATCTTCAACATCTAACATGAATGCTCCATACATAGCAAGGATGAATACATGCTTGAAAGGTTAAGTATAACCTTTAAAGTTTAAAAAATATTTCCTTGTCTTCAAGAACATAAACCCAAAGGATGCTCTACCTTCTGAAACTGGAGATTATTTTAAGTAAAGAGCTGGGAAGTGAAGCGTCACCTCCTTTTGATGCTGCGCATGCCTTGTTACAGGAAGCAGAAGTAATTTAGGAATGCAAATACAGAAATAAACTATGAGAGAAAAAGAGTAGCCCAACAATCGAAAGTTTGCATCTGTTAATATTACAAAGGGGTCAGGAGCAACACACACATATGCATAGACACAGAATAAGCATTCGCGCTAGGAGCCCCCATGAGCCAGACAATAAAGGTTTATAGGGACACTGAGAACCATGACATAGTTCTTCCCACCAAAGGGCTCACAGTAGGATGAGAGGACTTAGATTTGTACACAAACTACATGCAATCCAAATACACATTCAAAGAAGTTCGAAAGAGATGCCCAAAAGAACAGAGGATAAAGTGTTTAACTAGGTCTAGAAAGAACCCACAAAAATTCCTGCAGTGATGACATCTAAACAGGTATGGAATACTATAAGCACTCACTATGAGGACTGGAGATGGGCTGGCATAGTTTCCAGTTATCACCCACCTCAAACAGTGCAACACCTCTGAGAACCATGTGGCCCAAGATAACAAAATTCTTCAATGCGTATTTATTGAGTCTGCCATATGGCGATCATTGTGATGGGCCATGTGAGAGTGGAAAACAGGACTAAAACGTGGTCTTTGGCTTAAAAACGTGTTGGCCCAGAAAAGGACATAAGGTAAGTACACAAAATATCTACCTTGCGAGACACTGTGTGACCAGTGCCACAGAATAATACAAAATTACTAAGAGCAAAAACAAAAACAATAGAAATTACATTAGGAGTGAAGGTTACACTAACAAATGTTTATATTTGGAGTATCTTAAAGGATGGTGAGGATTTTGATGATACATGATAACTGGTAATCACTAAGGAGTGGGATAACTAGCAGAAAAACTGCCAGCCTTGAAGAGAAACCAGCAATTAATTTGGCCACATTATTGTACAGTATGTGAAGAGAATCATTTTAAATTTAGGTTGAGAACATATCACAAAGAGACTTATTAGTAAATCCCAGGCTAAGGCAAATTGATTTTCTTTAAGGGGCAAAGATTTAGAGGCCAAGGTATAAAGGTTTAGAAATAGAGGACTGACATATAAGAACAACACTTTTTACAAAATATTTTTATTAATTTTTACAGAGAGAGGAAAGAAGAAGGAGAAAGAGAGAGGAACATAGATGTGAGAGAGAAATATTGGTCAGTTGCCTTGTTCCCTCTACCAGGAATCAAACCTGCAACTCAGGCATGAGCCTTGATTGGGAGTCTAACCAGACAGCTCTTGGTGCCTGGGTTGATGCTCAACCAACTGAGCCACACTGGCCAGGTTTAAAAACACACTTAAAAGAAAATTTATTGCTTTTAGAATGAAGCAAAAGAGACTGGTTATTAACTAAACAATTAGAATACTCTAGACATGAAATAAAAGGGTCTAAGTTTTGATAGCAGGAATAAAAAGAAAAAAATGAAAGCAAAGCAGATTTTTTAGTTATCCAAGAAAACACATTAAAATTTAGGGTTTTATTATAGAGAATATCAGACAAAATTTATTGCTACAATCATCTAATATATATCTATCCAAAACTATTTCTCTCTCCCACACCCTATCTATAACACTTAAAATCACTTTCCTTGTGAGAAGTATCCCTTGCTTTGTGATCTGAAGTTCAGACACTCTTCTTGTCTCTGCAATGATTCGGGGAATGACCTTGGATAAGACATGACCTTGCTGAACCTGGTTTGCTTTGGAGTGCTCTGCAAGGATAATGTGGGGAAAACTAACCAAAATGATGGCCAAAAAAGAAAAGCCAAGTGCCCTGGCATTCCTACATCAAGACAGAGCTGTGCAGCAGAGTGGAAAGGTGGATCCCATCCCAAACAGAGCCGCCAGCCAGCCAGTGCCACTTGACCCAGAGCCAAAGCAAATGCCACCCAAAACCATGCTGCTTTTAATATCACAATGCTTCCATCTCCCTCACTATTTCAGGTTTCTCTCTGGACTCAATTTCATAGTAGTCAGGGACCTTAATAATTTTAGACAATATCTCCAATTTTCACATTCCTTCACTAACAAATGTGAACAAAACCATATCCAGAGTGAAAAGCCTTTAATTCATGATGAAATCTCCAGTAGTATCATTAGATTTGTGTCAGAAGACTGGCACTTACTCTATAACCATTATCATGCAAAGGAATGACTTCAAATAAGCAATTACAAAAGTGACGAAAACTTACTTTTTATTTACTACTCAACTCTTATTTCTAAGAGGTAAAGCCTAATGCGTCTTGATTTTCCAGTGTTTTCTACAGGGAATGGGAGAATTAAAAATTCTGTTTTTTTCAATCCTAAATTTTCTAAATTCAAAATTCTGATTTTTATTAATAAGAAAACTTAAGCAAAATGAAAATAGTTATTTACCTCCAAAGACACATAAAAATCTGGCCAACTATATATCAAAATGAAGATTATGTCCGCAAATTTTTTTCAGAATAACATATATTAGTCAACATCCATTTTCAGTCTTTCAAACTAAATCAATGCTGAACCCCTCCCAGTATAGAACATAAAGTGCTCCATCAGATACAGAAAATATTTTATACAAATCATGGCTACCAGACAGAAAGTCAGAGAAACAACTAGACATAAAAAAAACAATGGCAACAAGAACGAGGAAATCTACAGTCAGCAAGCCCTGGAGTCCAAGCCTGCCCGGAGAGATCATGGGAGTCCTTAAGGGTGTAAGACTGGATTAGAATGACCTTCTGAACTCTGTGAACAGGAGGTCAATCCTAGGAATACAGGGGAAATAAAACAAAGATCTGTAAACACAGCATACTAAATTGGTCAACAACAACAAAAAACCCTAAAAGTATAAAGCAGAGTTTGTAATGTTATCCATGGGAATACATGCCTTTCTTGGTCTTTCCACGAGATGTAATTTCATAAGAGGAAAAAAAAAAAAGTAATCCCCAAAGATATTCCCAACCATAAATAGACAACTGGGTTTGGTGCTGAAATTGCTCTCTTCAGCGGCTAAGGATATACAACATGAAACAACTTTTTTGGATTTAAATGAAATCTCCCTAAAGTATTATATTGAGGAAATGTGTCAATACAACGTGACCTATGACTCTGCCAGGAACAGTGGTTATAATATAACTCCCAATCAAACCATCTTAATTTGAATTGATATTTGTTTGCAAGTACTTCAAAGAAAGGAGAAGGCAATGATAACCATTATTACAAACATTTACCTTGAGTTTATGCTCCTTCCTGTTTACAATCACAGCTGTGATTTGCTGGTCCATGAAAATGAGAATGGTGACCAACAAAGCGGGGATAACAGCTGCCAGGTACACCCACCAGGGGTTTTTTCCAAACGGTGGGACAAACCAACCGCGGTTCGGACTTGTTGGCTTGAAGAAGAGAGAAAACAACCAATATGAATACATACCACTTTGTGAAAAATCAACAGGGGAGATACACTTTTAATTTTGGAGAGCCAACACAAAAAAATGGAAAGAGTTTTATGGATAAACTGGACAAAAAAGATTATTCACCAAACGTTTCCTAAAGGAGCTGATTTTTAAGGCAGTATTTTAAATGAAGGAGACTAAGAACAGTTCCGGTGGAAAAAAACGATCTAAGATAAGGACTCAATATGGAAGAAAGGAATTTAAGTTTAAGGGCCGGCCATAAGAAAAAACCCAGATGTGATAGTCAGTAAAGAGATAGGCAAGAAATTACAAAACTACTATGACCTTTCTCCATGGACTTGAGCAATTACACTGAAGTTGTTTCTAATATTGCCACATGATAATGACTTTATAATATAATATAATATATAAAAAGCTACAAATATTTTTATGTTATACTCAAACTTATTTGAACACTCTGGTATTTCTTATTTTATATATGAAAAATAACCCAGGATAATTGGTTAAATCCTCAGAAATACCACAGAAAATGAAAAAATACAATTATTCTTCTAGTTCCCAATCTATCATCTATCAGCAGATCATATATCTCTACTACAAAAAAAAGTCTTATCCTTTATTCTGACTTTAAACAAACAATGTAAGTAAACTAAAATAAAATCCTACCTATGAATTATTTTCTCTGTATTTACTATCAAAAAAGTCTCACTTCTCCTCTGAAGATATTTCTATTTTTCCTCTTACTTGCTCATAACTCAATCACTGAATTTATCCAGATTTTACTACCTTTACCAGGTTGTGAGCTTGTAAGGAAAGCAACTTTGTCTTGCTCATCGATGCATTACAAATATCCAATATAGAGCCTAACTCAAAGCACACATCCTGTACATGTTGGCTTAAATGAACTAATGATTAAATGCATGAGAACTTTTCTTTGCTAATGAATATGTGAAGGGAGAGATAATGCAAACATATTCTATTTGCTATAACATAGATATCCCTTCCTCACTGAGTAGTTACTAAGCTAAAACTATAGTTAATTTAGTTTTTCTTAGCAAGTATATGGTCTCCATGATGGAATAAAAGGTTAAGTGTTCTAGAAAATAGGTAAAAAACTTATACTGGAAACTTAGGTATGAAATATTAGGAATGACTGAAATGTAAATTTTAGCTATTGGGTCTGCAAATACCAACAATATAAAATGAATAATTCCTGTATCTTCTTTGTAATAATTAAAATGCACATTACACATAAATATGTGTTTACAGGGCAGGTAGTTTGGTAGCAGAAAAAGATCACTGAAGCAGTAATGTAATTGTGGGTATTTTACTTAATTTTTTGAGCTTAAAAATCAGCTTCATAAAATAAGGATGACGATACTTACATTGCATCCTAGAATTATTATATGGGTCAAAGTGATGAGTTGTATGAAAATACTCTGAATATTTTAAAATACTCTAAAAGTATAAAGCAGAGTTTGTAATGTTGACATAAGGTATTTTTCATAAAAATCAATGTAATCTTAACTTTGCATATGATCATTCAGACACTTAATTTTAATAAAGAAATGGGTAAATGTATACATGTGCCTATCAAGAGAACATTTTTAAAATATGTAAAGAAATGGATAATTGTACAAAACTAACTAAGGACAGATATGACAAACTAGAATAATAGGAGGAAGGAAAAAAAGCCAAAAAGTCCTAGGAATGACCAAAAGACAGAGGTTCACCTACCTTGAACTCACTTGGCACAATTAGTTTTGGAGTATCCACACCTACCAGGGCATCTGTTACACAAAATATGAGAATGGACAAGATGATGGCAAAATCACTGATCAGTTTTCTTGCCTGGGAAAATAAAAAAGAAACCAGGACTGTTTAGCACTGGATCCACATATTTGCCCGTGTTTGCATTGAATGAAGAAGTCTGTATTTGCTAACAGTTTATAGGAACAATTTCATCAACAAGTGAAAGGAGCAGTTATACTGCAGAGAGATTATATTTTAAATTGTTTTTGCATCACTCTGTCACCTGGTCAACAGTAATCTAACCCCACAGAACAGATCAGTGTGAGTGCATGCATTGGGCGAGAAGTCAAAGGTAATATATCCCTGAAATACTGTATCAACACTTTTCTTGTTTTGCAGACCTGGACAAGGATGAAATCTCAGGGCATATTATAAAAATCTGCACAAAAACATCGATGAGTTCCAGTCCATTGAGTAGACTCAAGACCTCAGAGAAATGTAGTGTGATGGCAGATGGAAATTTGATGGCTTCACTAACTTTTTCAAAGAAAATACTTTTCACTCTAGATTAGTCCTTAAAATCTCCAATATGTGAAATATCTGTTCTCCACTGTTAAGTGTGATTACCATTAATCAACACCTTTAAACTAGGTACCTGGTAAGGACAAGGGCTGGGCTTTATGGGATGTAACATTAAACCCAAACCTTTCTTATGGAGTAGGTGCGGAATGGCCATTTCTAAGTCAGCAGGGGAGTGTAGGGTTATTTAGTTGGTTGGCTGTTCCTCTGTCGTGTTTAGTGGCACAGACAACAGCCTAAGAGCATTACTAGAGCAAAGACACCTGAGTTTCCCTATAAGGTACTTACACATAGTAGTGCACAATACGATCATTCTACAAGAACTTGGTACCTAATGCTTTGCTTGGCACTAGAAATATCGCAGTGAACCCAACAGACACAACCCATGCCTCATGAAGCTTATAGTCAAGTCATTCACAAGGAAGCCTGCTCCCAGTTTTAGATAAAACTACGGCTGATTGAGCAGGTACCAAGTTGTCTCAGGGTGAGCAGTCAGTTTTCTGGTGCTGCCAGATGAAGAGAGATCACTGATGGGCTGAGTGGCTACACAGTTCTCCGGGCAGTGGGTCTTGTAAAAGAGTAGCAGGAAGGAGGGAGGCAGGAGAGTCAGTGTCGGAGGGATGCAGTGTCAGGCAGGCCATTGTTGGCTTTGAAGATGGAGGGGCCACAAGCCATCAGGTGTTCAATGGGACCGGAAGGGAAGCACGAAATTACTTGATGATGTGGGATGTATGCTGAAGGCTGAGGCAGGGATTGATCTGTGACCATTACCAGGTGTCAGAAGCTTGGTACGAACTAGCAGCAGGGCCACAGATGGCCCTTTTGGCCAGAAATTCCTTTCCCTCTTGGAGAGCTGGATGCTGCTAGGTTTAGCTTTCTTGAGAAGTACACACAGAGGAGCAGAAAGCCAGCTCCTATTGGTATCAAATTAATACCAATCACACACAATACTCTCAAGCACAGATAGATGGCATGGATCAATTTGGGCAGAAAATATGGTACAGCAGGGAGAAGCAGCTTGTATAGTCAGGTTACCTGGGCTGGAACTCCAGCACCATTATTTCCTATCCTTTCTTAGCGTCAATTACTCCACCTGCAAAATGTAGCCAAGATAATCCCTAAAGATTTCATCAGTTTGTTCTAAGAATTAAATAGGATAAGCCATTGAAAGTGCTTAACATAACACCTGGAATATAATAACCTCTCCTAATATATGTTAACCAGCCCTGACCGGTTTTGCTCAGTGGATATAGCATCGGCCTGCAGACTGTGTGTGTGTGTGTGGGGGGGGGGGGGGGGGGGGGTCCCAGCTTCGATTCTGGTCAAGGGCATGTACCTTGGTTGCGGGCACATCCCCAGTGGGGGGTGTGCAGGAGGCAGCTGAATCAATGTTTCTCTCTCATCGATGTTTCTGACTCTCTATCCCTCTCCCTTCCTCTCTGTAAAAAATCAATTTTATATATATGTGTGTGTATATATATATATATATATATATTATTGTTTTTTCAAGTTCCACAGGCCTCTGTGGCTGCCAAAACCACTGGAATAACTAAGTAATCCACTGTCAGGAAGTCTTTAAAAAGAATCTTCAAATACAAGAAATAAGAAATAAAAACCCAGTAATAACATGAAACTGCCACTCAGAGCTAATTTCTACAGAGCTATTTTCTAGGGACTCAATACTGGAGAAAACTCCCATTTCTTTCTTTTGCTCTCTTTTTTAAATCAATCAACTTTATTTGTTAGCACAGTTTTAGATTTACAGAATAGAGAAGATAGTTGAGAGTGTTCCATACACCTCCTGTCATAATTCCCTCTATCATTAACATCATGCATTAGTGTGTTATGTTTGGAAATACCCATTTCTTAAGTTTTGTGCAAGTGTTGACACAGTTCAGGATGATCTGGCAAATGTGGTCATGGGAAGAAGTTTCAGGAATATATTAAGATGTTACAAGAACCTCCCTGGTCCTGTAGGTTATAAATCACTGAAATAACAGAAATCATTGCAAAGGCAAAAAAAAAAAAAAAAAAGTGATTTTTTTCTTCATCACCCTCCTAATCCTTACCCAGTAAATTCAACTTCTTGACAACTCAGATCTACCAGAAGATGCTCAAAACGTTTTATTAAAAAGACAGTGCTCCTTTTCTTTTTAAAGGAGGCATTATCAGCTTTCCATAAACTGAACACTAAACTCCTAAACCTACTCTTTCAGCTGTTTTTTCCATCCGAATTAATGGCAACTTATTTTTTCCTAATGCTTAGGCCAAAAATTCCACACGACTCTTCTGTTTCTCTCACATCCTATACTTACCAGGCCAGCAAATTGCCTTCAAAACATATCCAGGCTCCTGTTACTTCCACCTCTGTTGCTATGACCACCTTTGTCTAAGGCCACCACTTTATCTTAACTTGATCTCTTTCAAATACTGCACCTAACTCATCTTCCTGCTTCTACACCACCGCTCCCCACCCTCCTTCAGTACACTGCCAAGGTATCACCCAACATAATCATATTAAAATTTAGGTCAGATGATGTGTAGGCAAGAATAACACCCCCTAAGAATATCCATGCACTAATTCCTGGAACCTATGAGTACGTACATTACATGAGTAGGGAGAATTAAGGTTGCTAATCGGCTGACCTGGAGATTGGAAAAAGGATCTGGTATTATTATGGTGGGTCCAGTGAAATCACAAGGGTGCTCATAAGTGGAAGAGGGAGGCAGGAGAGTCCGTGTCAGAGGGATACCAGGTGGGAAAGACTGGACAGGCCATTGCTGGCTATGAAGATGGAGAAAAGGGGCCACAAGCCTGGAAATGTGGGCAGTTGCTAGAAGTCAGAAATGGCAAGGAAATACATTTTCCACTGGGGCTTTCAGAAACAACACAGGCCTGCCAGCACCTTGATGTTAGCCCATGTGGACCCATTTCACACTTCTGACCCTCCAGATCCTAAGACAATAGACTTGAGTTGTTTTCAGCCATCATGTTTGTAGTAATCTGATATTGCTCCCATGGGAAACTAATAACTAATATAAATAAATAGTTTATCTATTTTAGTATAGTTATTATTTCCCAAATTTATATATCGATATAGAAACCTGAGATAGCCCCTCGGCAAAGGCATTCTGGCCAAGTGTGGTGTTACTGAATTTTAAGTATAAAAGCAGCTAAAAGAACAAATGCTAATAACCTTCAGGATTACATTTCTTACAATTTATGGGGGGGAAGAGATACTCAGTTTTGCTAAGTGTCCATCGATAAATGGTAATAATGTTGCTTAACCTCATTAAAAAGCACAGCCAGGATGATGTGTTCTGTATAATACACTTCTATTTCCCTTTCCTCCCCCTTAAATTATACAATTCAGGGCAGTCACAGCAGAATTCACTCCTGCAGAGTGTTTATTGTAAGACATTCATTTCTAAGATACTGGATCCAGTTTAAACTCATAGTCAAGGAAATCGATTTTTCCCAGGCCACTTTTGTATTCAACTCTAAATGCTCTAATTAGAGGATGCAGGTAGGGGTGCTGTTTTAGCAGACCATTCAGGTCCTACCCTACTCTAAAAAGGAAGTTTAATCTGAAAGAGGCAAAACTGACAGCAGAACCAGAAAGCATCCTAAAACTGTCAAGCACGGAGTACATATAGCTTATCAGATACACTCCAGGACCTGCGTAATAGGAGCTCTGAGTCTGACTTTAAGGAAATAAGGATTGCTTTCTTTGAGCCCTTCTCATACTTGCAAACACAGTTAGAAAAGAAATATGTGAATTTCCTTCCATTTTTAAATTTATTTTACCTTTCATTTTCATCAAACTTAATCTCTTTCAAACACTACAAAATAGCACCCTTTTATGTGTCACTGTATCTCTCTCTCTCTCTCTCTCTCTCTCTCTCTCTCTCTCTCTATATATATATATATATATATATATATATATATATATACCCATGTATATAGAGAGAGAAATATTAAATTACAAATGTATAGTTCCTAATACTTCCTAATTCAGTACTAGCTATTTAGCTATTACTGGTATTGATTACACGTGCCAAAGTTTTCATGAGAAAAGCTGTTTGCACAAGATTTCATGCCCAATCCTGTGAATTCAAAGGCCTTAAACCTAACGTGGACAAACATTCTTATAGATGACTATCTAATCAAATGCTAAGTATTTCCAGGCTCAAGCTTCCATAGCCTAGGAATATCAACTATTACAACCTAAGTGAAACACATATTAAGATAATGCATTCCAGACACAAAAGAGCTAAAGTTGTTCATTACTACAAAAGCAGTATTACAAGAAATGTTAAGGGGGCTTCTTTAAGGAGAAGAAAAAAATTAAAAATATGAATGATAACATGGCAATAACTGCATACCTATCAATAATTACTTTAAATGTAAATGTATTAAATGCTCAAACAAAAGACACAGGGAGACTGAATGGAGAAGAAAACAAGCTCCATACATATGCTGTCTAAGAGACTCATTTCAGATCAAAAGACATACACAG